ATTACATCTGCTGTTTCTAGAACTGCCTGCCGCTTTTTAACTCCCTTTGCTCAGAATATAAATTTCCGAATGATCAAGAAAACAAGTACACGTGGTCTACATCTGCGTCATTCAGTGTTTGATTTATTAAAGCAGCGCACGCAGATGTTTCACGGTGTCCCAACTTTGCGCCTGTGTGTGTATTTTTTTTAAAGATCTAGAGTTTCTCTACGGCTTCATATATATGTGTCGCATTTTTCTAGTTATATCTCGCAGTATAGAAAAACCTTTTTTTGTATTTGTTTGTTGTGCATAAACTCTACCGGTACACTCTAAAAATTCCTGAGCGTCTACTAAGCCGCAAAACACTCAAAGAGCCTATCATTGCGATCTAGGAAACCAGCTCAGCGAATGATGAGGCGGAACATCCGTTTAAACTTCAAAAGAAAATCTGCGCTGTGACATTACGCAATGCAAGCATGACGCTTTGCATTGCGTAATGCCACAGCACAGAGTTTCTTTTTGGGAAATCTGAAAGGATTCGACTTATCTGTTCGAAATGTACTACAGACTTTGAAACACCGTTAGTGCGAACACGACGTCTGGCCTTTGCTGGAAAATTTTATTTCGAAAAGGTATATTTATTGTCAAGCACTGAACTTTACCGCTCGGTCTATAATGCGCCGAGCTAGCACTTTCCACTATAGTTTTCAAGAACCAAACGCCCTTTCACCCTAGTAGCATCGTGGGGTGCACTCTGATTACTTAATCTCTTTCTTGCACCCTCCAATACCCTTCGTACACCCTTTCGTAATCTAAAGGTGTAAAAAGGGTGTTTTCGTCGTATCGGAAACCCTTCTAACAAACTTCATATTAAAAATGAGGGTGTTAGAAGGGTGTTCTGAGCATTATTACACCTTTAAAGGTGTAAAAAGTGAATCATGGTACACAGTCTCGATGACAGCCCATTCAGCCGCGGTAACACTGCTAATACGCCGTACAAGAGACAGTCTGCAGAAAATGTCTGAATCGTGTTTCTTGTCTGTATGACGGTCACACTGGCCAAACAAACACTGTCTCTGCAGACATGTTCGAAGCACACATATGTATGAAGCAGGGATGGGCAAAATACATGCAAATATGTATCGAAATACAAATACAAAATAGTTCGTCAAAAATGTATTTAATTACAAATCTAATTACATTAAAAAAACATTTAATTACAAGATACAAATACAACCAAATGTATTTGGTCTCCTCCAAATAATATTCCAAATACATTCCCCAAAATTTGCGTCAGCGACTTCAGGGCACCGGCAACGGGTTTCTGGGTATCTCATTTTAATTTTGCATCGCACACTCGGGAGTTAGTGTGCGAGGCTCTAGTAACGTAATAGAAATATAATCAAAAAAAAAATGTAACCAGCTTGGAAGTAATAGGTGAAGAAAGTACAGAGCTTCAAGTAACTTTTTTGTCGATCACATTTTGGTATAGACCAACAAAGAACCGAGGCGACCAAAACGCGCAGCACTAGCTAGATAATTTTTTATTGTTGCAACTCACACCAGTTACGAAAATCTGGACGACCCGCGTATTTAGAATGTTCCAGGCAAAAATATGGATAGAAATCAGGTACGTTAGAAAATATGATTGCGCTTTGAAGACGGGGACATAAGAAGGACAGACACCACAGAGCGCACAGAGACATCACAGAGCACTCTGTGGTGTCTGTCCTGTCCCCGTCTTCAAAGCGCAATCATGTTTTCTAACGTACCATACCAACTTGCCCAACAATCAGAACTTAGAAATCAGGCTTTAAAACATCACAAGTCGTCACAGGCACTTATTTAGCCAGTCTGCCTGTGAACGTCAATTTCGTCACTATTCTTGCTCTGGACTAGGACCGTAATCACAAAGTCACTAAACGCTTGTGCTTGATTGAGAGACACAGCATTCGGTGCAGAACGTAGTTTTCTTCCTGCTCTGGACAGTGACAATAAATTCGAGGGATGTATTTTCGCCCACAAAATTGTATTTAATTACAATTGTATCTGAAATACGCGCGTTTTAGTATTTAAATACACACGTCAAATACATTACCCAATTTGTAATTAAATATAAATGCAAAATACACAAAGTATTTGAAATACGTATTTCAAATACTTGTATTTGAAATACTGCCGATCCCTGGTATGAAGCAAACGTGCGTGGAACATGGTTGAGCCGTGTCCGCAGACAGTTTTGTCGTCATGTCCGCAGCGAACAGCGTGTCTTTCGTGTGATCTATGAACAATGCGACTTTAGATATAAAAAAAAAAACATAAAAAAGAACGATCGCTCGTTTGCGTTATGGAAGTGTCGCGCAGTGTACGAGAATGACTAGAATGGTGGATGCATTGTGAGCCTGGCAGGGGGACGCATCCGATTAGAAGCAAACGCAGCGTCCAGGTCGTGTTGATGTGTTCTTCGTCCGTTGCTGTTCTCCGGGAAACGGCCTCACCTCTTTGGGGCGTGTTTGCTGTTCTTGCAGCGCGGAACGCGAAGGCACGCGGCGGATATGGGATATCCTGTGCCTCCTTTTTTCCTGTAAAGGCGACGGATATGCAGCACGTTATCTGTAGGGCAGGGTGGTTGACCTAACGATTGTTTCTGCACTTTAATGAATCTTTTTCTTCTTTTTTTTTTTATTCTGAAGGTTAGTCACATAGACCTAAAGTTGGTGAAGAAGTTAGTTATTTTACAAAACAATACAATGCGGTATGGTACGAGACGTAACCAGTACAGTACAATGCAACAGTTTAACTGTGTGCTGCTGGAAAGCGCTGCTTTGGGGACAGGGACCTTTGTCAGGCTTTGAGCCTTTAGTCTCTGTCTCCATTTCGGTTGATTCCGGAAAAAATAAACATTCATTCATTCATTCATTCATTCATAATACACGCTATACAGTGCAATACAGCATGACGTTTCGCCATGTTCAGTGCCACGCTCGACCAAGCTGTAGCACACACATGCAGTGCTCTTGACCAATCCACAAGCCACATTCGACTCGTCTTCATCAAGGGCTTCTCCCCGCCATTACGTCACCAAGTTCTGCAAAAAAAACAAAAAAAAAACAGACATTACCCGCCTTTTTTTTCAATTTATTTTAAATGACGACGAGAGAGCGTTAGACTCGTTGCGTTACGATCACGAGTACACTTATTTTTAATTATCTGTTATTACACTAATCTAAACTACCAAACATTCAAATTGAATATCGTTTTATGGCCACTTCAGAAATGGAAAGACCCAGGTTACCTTTGAGAAAAACAAATTAATTTAGGTTCTTTTTATATTAATATGAGTAAAGAATGTATGTAAATGAGGTTTCAAAGAAATGTTTGATAAAAAAAAAAGTGCCACGAATATTTGAACATTTAGAAAAGATGGAATTTTAGAGCGGTGAGACTAATTTTATGCTGTCAGTGTCCCACCGAGCATTCATGCAAAAATATAGCAAACCTAAAGTCGGTGGCTTTCCTTCTGGAAAATAAAGTTAATAACCACAAGGGGCAAGAAATCTAGCATAGTAAAATAGACATCTCAACCAAAGTATCAGTATAGTAAAAGCAAAAAAAAAAAAAGTGTTCTTGTACGATTTTCCTAGTATTTTAAGGGCGTTCGGAGCTTCACAAAGCAGATCTAAATTAAAAACATATTGCGCAATTACATGACAAAGGAATTTAGTTTAGATGCACACAAATTGTTAAAAGAAAGTTATTTTCAAAAAGTAACTTCGTCGTGTTAGTAGAAAGCAGAAGTATAGACGAGTTTATGCAGTAAAACTGGATTATAAAAAAAAAACAAAAAAAAAAAAACGTATATTGAGCGTTAAATAGGAGAACGATTTGACAACTGAACATAAATTATTACATAGTAGTAGGACGGTTTTCGTCCTTAATAACGTAGCATCTATATTTAGAGCGAATGCATGAATAAATTCAAATAAAAGCTCGCTCATATTAAAAATGAAAAGAGTCTAGTCAACTACACGCTACTCACTATAAATATTACTGCACATGATTTAAATATGTAGTTGAACACAAATTCAATATACAAACTAAATTAGGCTGTTTATTTCGGTTTCAGTTTTTTAGTTTCCTCCTATTTATGACAGTAGATGACTTTATTTGAAGCAAGCTCATGTAATGTTGTAACATGAAATATGCACTTGTGTGGTTATGTACTGGCCTTCATTCCATGCTTTGGACATTAAGTATTTTGAATTGTTAACGCACATATTCAATCTGTCAGTTCAAAGAAATCATGATTTTATATGCTTCGTTATTTTTATTCCCCATGATCAAGCATATTTTAGCTTTCGAATCTTGTTGACCAATGTAAATTTGTTTGCAATACATGATTGTTTCAGGAATGCGTTCAACCACATCATCGCACGTTAAAAATATTTTATGAAGAAGACAACTTCAGATGAAATATTGCGTAAATAATGACAGAAAAAAAAAAACAAACGGAGAAATATTGTGCAAAGACTTTGATTCTTGAAACGACGCTTATAAAGAAATAACCGCAGAGATAAAGAGGGCAGCGTTCTTTGGGACGCCTTCGAATACCACATTTCTTGAGACATTCACTAAATGTTTCTTGCATTTTCCGTTTTAGCAAAAAAAAAAAAAAGAGTAAAAAATCATTATTGTGTTTTACTTTTACAATCCTCGTAAGAAAAAAACAGATTTTTTTTTAATGTATATTACAGATTTTGAGACGAAAAGGGTTTACTACCTTTTTCTGTTCTATAAATTTTCCTGAACGGCGCCGTATCGATTACGCAACGACTTCGCCACAAAAAAAAAAAAAAAAAAGCTTGACATTATCTTCGTCATAATAATTTAAACTAATAATAGTATTACTAGAATCGGTCCTGTCTCTATAGGCCTTTAAACGGTAGGGAATCCTATAGTTATGTACTTGTCCTCTTATTCACCATCTATAATGTTCGTGTGTTTCTTTGTCTTTGCAGAAGCTAACGGTGAAGCCGGTGGACCCCAAGATGTACGGCAGCTTCTACTCGGGCGATTCCTACATCGTTCTCCACGTGAGTCTCCCCAATATTTCAATTCACTCTCTCCCCCCCCCCCCCCCCAAAAAAAAAAAAAGAGAAGAAAATGTGGGCATGTCTTGTTTATAACTAGATGAAGTCAGAGACGCACAAAACGTGTTGCATATAACACCAGTGTCATCAGAGTGGCACGTTATGTCACGCTTTCTCGTGACAATTCGAACTTGACGTCAACTCACGGGATTTCGCTGAGTCACGTGACGTCAGAAAGTCACGTTATCCGTGTGTATGCTCAAGCGTGTCGCTGTTCTCGTGATACTCAGCCCAGTGTCGCTATTCTCATAATATTCGGCACTTCTCGTGATACACATCTTTTTTTTTCACACAGTCACGTGATTCATTGTGTAGGCCAAGCGTGTCGCTCTTTCCTCGTGAAATTCGGGCCTGTGACGCTCTTCGCAACGCTCTCAGCTCAGTCCGACTGTAAATGAACTTTTTGCAGATTGCGGCATTATAGCCGACACGAACGCCGAAAGCTTAGCAAATCACAAAGCAAGCGCCGTGACGACAGCAAGTCACGCCCTGATTTCGTTAAATTAGGTTGTAGCGGTAACTATAGACCTTAGGCACGTGTCCGATGGCGACACGTCTACAGAACGTGGTTCAGTGCACCGACATCTTAAGAAACGAAGGGCGGGGACTTTTTACTTCACGCTTCCTGCCTTGTGATTGGTTGTTCCGCGTTCTTATCCGCTATTCCTGCAAGATTGACCGCCGATGGATAATGAGATGCTAGGGACTAAGCACCGCCCCGCGTTCCTTAACCGCTCATTAAAGAGTTTTAGGGAACCGTTTTTGCACGTCCGATATACGGTATACGATGTGCCCTCCGGTACGCGCTGCGCATGCGCTAGCGCAGAAGACTGGCGCATGCACAGTGCGTACCGGAGGGGCCCATCGTATACAGTATATCGAACGTGCAAAAACGGTTCCCTGAAACTCTCTAGTCATTAGGGAGTTGTAGTAGACCGTTTCCGCAGCCCGCTAAGCACCCGGATAGCTCTCTGTAATCCGCCACAAGACCTTGAACTATGCGGAGAAGGCTGGCGGGGCGCATGCGCAGCTGCGGCGTTTTCTTCAGGGATACCGTAGCGGAGGAGAAAAACGATCTACTACAACTCCCTACTATGAATTGTTACGCTAAGTTTCAACAAAAACATTTTTTTTTTTTATTTTTTTATCTAACAACTTTTCATAAAAAATGAGATGCAACGTCAAGGACAAATGGATGGCCACGGACGTATGAAACGGCACGGTTGTATGGAACGTCATGAACGGAGCATACATATACTGTTACAGCTAAATTTAGCCGGGAGTGCTGTTGGTGAGGCTTCATTTAATTCCGAAACTCTACGGAGACGGATTTTCCGTTCGCGGGAGTTTGGCTGCAGCTTATATACATTTTTTCTATGGTCGCGTTTTTTGTTCGTGTAACTTTCTGATCTGAACTAAAAAACCGGATGCACCTGCAGCCGCGGCGCAACCCGGAAAAGACGGCTTTCGTTTGGAAATACTCGAGGCCAACATTGCAATCGTCTGAACAAACACACTCCGTGTCATCCCGATACTGTTGCGTTCCTCGGTGCCAGAGTATTGCATGACATGCGCAAGAACTGGGCGCGTATTTGTACCAGAACTCGGGAAGGACCGGGTCGCACTAAACGCACGCATGCAGCTAGAAATTACACCGCTTGACAATGTGCTGTATGTTTATTACGGCGCACGATTCGCGTGCTGCTCTAAGCTTTAGAAAAAAGTATATATACGGTCGTGCCTTCTTTATATGGACCCCATTAATGTGGATACCCCTCCATGTGAACACCATTTTCAGGGACAAGCTGGGGAAATATATGCATTTTTGTCTCGTTATTATGGACATCTCATATTATGGACGATTTTTTTTGTAGGGAACAGAGGTGTCAGTATTAACGAGACACCACTGTTTTTTTACATATGTAACGAGTCTTTGGAAAAATTTTTGTTTTAAAACTTCTGAAACTCCCGACCCTCCCTTTACATTCTCGTCATGTAGCGTCGTGCTTCGATTGTTGCGTAACTTTCGTGTAACATCTTTCTCGCTCCAAACCGTATTTGCGGCGGCGGTTCAGCCCCAAGAGAGCGCGTACGCGGTTACACAAATAAATGAGGTCACTCGAAACTATACAAGCACGCGGTGTTACAGCGCGAGACTGTAGCGATAGTGCGAGCTCGTAAAACATCCGCACATGCACAAAATACATAACGCCCCAATGGACTTCGGGTTTCACTTTTTACGAGTGACATCAAACAGAAGTTCGAAGAGCAGATCATGAAGCAAAAGGAGGAAGCATAATAAAACACGGCCCGCGTTTTTTTAGCAGTCAGTGACTGTAATTACCCTGAAAATGTTCACCGTAACGCCAGTAGGTTCTACGAAGAATGTTAACACTTTTAGACGCACAATTTACGCCATCCATTGCGAAAAGACAACCAGGTAATATTTCCTCGTCTTCTAAGATACTCGTTCTTCTATACTCTCCAAAAGAGGATTTGGAAAGCCTATTACTGAAATCCAAGAGAAGTTTACTTTTTGGTGGCCGTGACGCATTTTTTTTTCCGATTTCAGGAACGGCTATTGCAGTCCGATGAGAATAATTGTAAAGTAGAGAAGGGGTAAACATATGGTAGTCAAATAACCAAGAATACACATTGGCATAAATCGTGACGTTTCACATGCTAATGTCATGTTCGCCGTCACAGCGCGGAGCGAATTTATAAGTCGAAACGTCTTCTCGGTCTTGTCCACGCCCGTTTGATTTTTTTTTTTTTCAGTGCTGACTGAACTTATAGTGATGTCTTCCATAGGATTACCGGAACTACGTAGTAAATAAAGGCAGTGAATAACAAAACACCCCCCATAACGCACTACAAAACAAATAATGTGAGAACTACGACTATAGGACTCGATACCCAGATTGGAGTGTGTGGAAGCGTGCTCTTGTTTATCCATGGTTCTCTGTGAAACCTGTGGTAATTTTGCCTGTCCATAATGCGGGTGGAAACAAAGCATCCACACTAACGCCACAAAGCGCGGGCAAGGGTACAGGGCTCAAGCTCTTCTTACCAGTTGACTCCAGTGCGCGAGCGCTGCATTAGCGCTTCCCATGGCTTCGACCTCGCGGGCGTAGCCTTCGTTTTGCTCTGAGTAAGCGTTAAACAAAGCGTAGTTTTGCTTTTAACCACATGAGCCGTGCCAATCGAATCTCGAGGCGAATTAATTGCCAAGCGCGTCGCCGAACGACCGCGTGCGTGGCCGAGTGGTTACCGAGCTTCTCTTTCGCGCGGAGGCCCCAAGTTTGATTTCTGGGCGTGAACGCTTCTGTTATTTATTCTTTCAACTTAACGTTTTTGTAAGGTCGAGAGCCTTGCCGTCTGATCGAGTTACGAACGTTCTGAACGCCGAATGTTCCAGAAGCCCACGCGTGTACATAAGAGGGGCTCCGCTCCGCGTAGCGAGCGAGAGTCAGTCTCGCCCCAGCGCTTGATCCTGCTGTCACGCCGCCATCGACGCCTGCGACGCGCTAGCCTTTCTCTATTTCGTTTCGGGCACAAGTTCGCCCCATTAAACGTTTCGCTTGCTTCACTTTTCATCGGCTCAATAATTGTCATTCGTGACAATATTCACTGAACCATTAGGAAGTGCGGGGCGTGGTTAGCTCCTAGCGTTTTATCATTTTTTCCTGTCTGTCTGAAGCCGTTAGGGGGATATATAGGTCACAGACCGTGATGCTCGCAGGCTCCGTATTAGCGGCGAGATGTTTCGGTGGCGCCCTCGTTCGGTTACCTTTTGTGACGTCATTACCTTGTTAACAACAAGTTCGATGGTGTTTGTAATGGGCATGGCGGAAGCCTGAAATCATAGCGATCTCAAAGCAACACTGCCAACACCGTCAAAATTGAAGTTCTTACATTCTTATTTGCGTCGATGAGTCATCCTTTGCTGACGTCAGAGTCAGCATTCAGTCAATTCTGGTGGGCCGACCACAGCGACCGCTTTCGATAGCTCACGTCTCCAATACCGACGTCGAATGGATTGTCGACTCCCAAACTTAGCGGTTCATGTCGTTTGAACTGAGTCAGGCGGCACTGGTTACAAGATTGCTTTTTGGAGTGATTCGTAATCATTCAAATACATTTAGTAAGAAGTAACCACAAGAGTAATCTGGTTACTCTTGGAAATACTAAAGTTACTCGTAACCATGACTATTTCCCCCTCACTTTTTCTTTTAATGAGGCCTTCTGTTTCTACAAGTTTCCTTCCGAGAAATTCTCAAACCAAGTCTCTGGACGGGATTGGATTAGATTGGATTGGATCGGAACAAATTTTATTTGTGCCTCAAAATTTTCGGATTAAGAAAATGAGTAGTTTATAGTTCAGGGATTCGAATCCCATGAATGCACGGTACGAAGGACCCGTTTCGAAACGCGCAGACAAATCTTTGCGTGCTGAAAATTTGAAGTCATCGAAAAAGTAACGGTTACGTTTTCAAGTAACGGTCAATTACTTTTCTTCCCGAGTAACCAAGTAATTCAATTGAATGCATTTTAACCGAGAGAAAGTGTAATTGCAATCGATTATTATTTATTATTTTTCTTTTTGTCGAGTAACATGTACAAGACCGGTACTGACTCATGTTCTCCGCGGGCAATTTAGCGCCCGAGCATCGGTAATAAAATATCGTAGACTCTGAGAAATCTGGAGCACCTCCTTTTCCGCAATACACTCGAGAGAACCAATCATTGAGGCCTACGGAGGGAGCTGGGCGAATTGCGAGGCTGAAAATATCTATAAGCCTAAAAATCTATACTTCGTCTCATCCTACGATGGACTAAAGGCCAAAGCCACGGGCCGCAAGGTCCAATCTCGTTGCAAGCTAGAATATGGCACACTTAGAATTGGTTAGGGGTGGACGAATTATCCTCCGAGTCCAAAAGCG